AAGTGAAAACAAATCAAGAAAATGGATACGTTTCAAAGGAGGTATTTAAAGAAGGGAGGAAGCGGAACTAACAAACCGTAGCACGCAAGAATCTTTTTTTCTAAAGTCATTTTTGACTTTTAGTAAGGTAAAAAAACAGCTATAGATAATATTCTCCAATCTTCTAAAGATATGATCATTCTTCTTGACTAATATTCTCACAATCTGTTGAGTCATTCTTATTTTCTATATAACAAAATTTACAATTTTCAAGAATCTACAAGGGGATGCGCTAGCAAACGAACGCGACATTTCTAATCTGTACTCAGCGATATTCGAATATCATTACTATGAAGCGCTAAGTTTGTCTGTATGTGTGTGTGTTTCTCTGTCTGTCACGAAATTAGTTTATTTGCCCTAAGAAAGTAAAAGAGCAGTTATCAATCGTTATCAGGTTAACAGCAGAGCACAAAGTAAACATGAGCAATTTTGTTGTGAAAACGTGGTAAGAGTTGGTTGTTTATTTCGTGTTGTTATGGGGAGGCACAGCGATGGAATCAAGATGGGTCAAAAGGTGAGATCAAGCTTTTGAATAATTTTTTAATACACGACCAGTGGTTCCCAATTCAGCACCATGCTGAACTTCAAAACTCAAGAGCACGCTTTTTTGCAAGAAGAGTAACATACGAAAATTAAGAAAAAAGAACTAATTGTTTGAAAGGATATGCTTCCAGCGGAATAATTTAATAGAAAAACACGTTTTCAATTTCATTTAAAAAAAAGAAGGCTGCAACGAGACAAGTAGCTACGCCACCTCCTTGGCAAGCACAAAAAAACAGCTCGCACATTCCAAAGGAACAAGGTGACAGCCCAACCCAACGGCCGATCGATAAGGCGATCGATTACGACCGAATGTGACAGGAGAGAAGAACGAAGTTTCGCGAAAAGTGCGTACGATAGCGCACCGCTGCGCGTGCGCAAAGGACGCGGGTACGGGACGAGGACGTTGATGACGTCACCCCGCGCCGCAGTCGCGCACCGCGTTCGCGCTTTGAAATGTCGCGTGGCGCAACGCTAATACTCAGCTAAGCGTCAGCCTAATGGTCCTAGAGCGAAAGAGCTTCTATTGGCAACAAGCCAAAAATCGTGGCTCAAATATAAATTTGTAGCAATAATGTGAATAGAAGTATTTAAAAACAGTAGCTGCAATCTTACATTGTTTACGGTAGACTTAGATTAGATGAAAACCCATCTATATTTTACGTAATAGTCAACTGCTTGCATGCTTCAATCGGCTACGTCTCTTGAGCTTTATCTCATTTTCCAAATCGACATAATCAAGTTATATGTGTTACTTTAGAAAATACAGCATGTATTCACCTTTTTTCTTGTTAGTAAATAAAAGCTGCACTAAGTTGGCCTGTATTTATAGGCTATGAAGACCGCGTTTACCATGACATCTGCTGGTGAAGCTGGCGAACCTTCCGCTAAACTTCGAAAAATTGATGAAACAAAGAATCGAAGGTAAATGGTATGCGCTTTAATTTTGGATAACAGAATGAATTCTTGTCTCACTTACAGCGTTTTTCATACTTTTCATCTTTCGGGGTTGGAAATATAGCACGATGATTAGTGGATTTTAGGGTGGAAAGAGAGATGATTGTGTTGGATTTTTTTCCTATAATTGCTCTCATTTACTCATCAAAAAAGTAGTTCTGCAGTTTGCCGCTGCATTTTATAGAAGAGATTTCTTGCGGATCTAGATTTGTTTAGGATAATTCCCATTCTTGGAGAGGCCACTACGAGTGAGACATTGCCATTAGCTGATTTCTATGTGGTTCACCTAAAAAATAAAAAGGAAATAAATTCGTTTCTGAAAAAAATCCCGATGTTTTTGGCAAAATTTAATCACCTGAAGCGAGTTGACAGAACGGGTGGAATACTTGTGCAGCGCGTAGGAACTTTACCCGTTGGGCTTCTTGATGCACTGAGGGAGTTTGGAGTAAAAGAGAGCGATATGGAGGTAAGCATTCAATGAATTCTTGGCGTATTGATTGTTCAGAACTGTAGAATAACAGCCTTGATTAGATAGTCAAAGTGCCTTCTGTTAAACCAATGACTCGACAACAGTTTGATTGGGCTAAACAATACTGGCCTACTTGCTTTCATCCTGATAAGGTTTGATTTTGTGAAAAAAATATCGGTTGCGGTTTCACTGTGAACAGAATTGAAGTTCAGGAGCTTGAAAGCTTAATGAACAATACAAGTTTTACGGAAAAAGACAAACAGCGCATTTATGAATGGTGTGAACGAGCTCACCAAGTGGGGAGCATAGTGGTGCAGGTGGGTGTGTCTTGCGGATCCTTTGATCACCATAAAGATGGCAGAACGCATTGCAGTTTCAGAACGATGAAGAGTTGGCGTGTGGGCATCAGACGTATCGACTCCTTAGTCATTCTGTAATGACAATGGTGCAGAAGTTGGCGAAATGCCCGCGGCGAGAGGGTGACTACTTAGCAACTAATTGTGATGTATATCTGAAGGATGAGCCGTGTGCTATGTGCGCTATGGTAACTAAGTGCTTTACTAAAGAAGCGCTCGCGTGAAATGGTGACGAAGTTCAGGCTCTTGTACATTGTCGGGCTGCTCGAGTTTTCTTTTGCAGAACTACCTCAAACGGAGTGCTAAAACGGGGTAAGCTTATCATTAAAGAAAGATAATCAATCGAACGATAAAGTTAAGTTTAGGGAGTTGGCAACTTCATCTAGAGCCCTCCATCAATCATCATTACCGTGTCTTTCAAGTTACTGATATCGCAGAAGAGGGAAGTGCAGTTTGTGGGAAATGAAGTGGAAGCTACTTTTTCTTAGCTTAATCACCTTTGGAAGATGTGTTATGGTGCAACTGCAGTCATGACTTAATCTCGAAGTTTCTGGGCATGCAAATGCAATCACATCATTTCTTTCTGTGGACTACTTCTTCTCATATCTTGTGTTTAATGTTGCATTGTTTTCCTACCAATTGAATTGTTTTTCAATTTCTACTGAGCATTCAGAAGTGAGTTCTGTAAATGCTTGAATTCAAGGCAAACCCCAACTATTGATCGATTGGGAAACTACTTTTAAACTAAGTTTAGAAGCAGCTCCTGCAAACGAAGAGTCAGAATTTAAAAAATCTTTCTTAGCAAGAGCCATATGGATTTGTACTTGTCTTTTGGGAATACGAGAATCACCCTCAGCGTAATTCGAAGACTAGTAAAGACTAATTTTCTAACGATCGGCAGATGTAAAGTTGTGGAGAACGATTACCTTGATGTCCGTGTTGAGAAAAAAGAGAACACCAGCAAGGCTAGTGCC